AAGGCCCTCGCCATCTACATGGACGAGAAGGTGAGCTGCTCCCGTCCGTCACCATCGACGGATGGATGGATGGACGAAAGAGAGACCTCTACAGTACACGGCTGCGGCGGATGGCTGCATCTCTGTCTTTGACGTGTCGTGCAGTTGACGCCGTTTGTGGACGATCTCATCCTCAAGCTGCTCAGAGACCAGCCGGACGACCCCGCCTATGAAGCCATGCTCATCTGCAAAGGCATCGTCACACACACACACAGATGGATGGATGGATGGATGGACAGCCTCCCTTTCCCTCTCTCTGCTACTCCCTGTGTGTGTGTTAACGTTCAGGTCGTTCGTCCCGTGCTCAGAGTGAGGCCGCGTTGGCTGCACTCGAGCAGCAGCGCGTCAACGAGGAAAACGCCAGACTCAAGAAGGAGTGAGTCGGCTGGGAGGGGCGCGCGCACACACACACACACAGCACCACTGCGTCTTTGTGTGTGTGTTTGTTTGTTTGTTTGTGAAAGAAACGCACAACTCAAGAAGCGCCTGGCTGCTCTGATGGACACCGTGGCCGCCAACACTCACATCACCGACACCATCACACAGGCCAAGTCAGACACAAACACACACACTCCCAGGAGGTGGATGGCTGTCTGTGTGTCTGTGTGTCTGTTAGGTCGGAGTTCATTGCAAACATCAAATCGGAGGACAAGTGCGCCACACACACATACAAATGGCCGCCATGGCCGGATGTGTCTTGTGTGTGAATCTGGTGGCAGGTTGGTAAATGACAGTTTGGCCATCTATAGCAACAACTGACGCATGACACACACACACACACACATACACACAGGTATGCAATCGACAGCCCGGCCCACCAACCTGTCATGGATAATCATTGCAATGCCGCTGTGTGTCTGTGTGTGTGTCAGATTCGCATCTCGTGTACAGTCAAGGCGGCCCAAGCCAAAGGAAATACTCTGTGTGGTGTGCATGGTGCATGGTGCATGCATCAGTGAGTGCAGTGGATGGGCGGAAGCATGCCGACATGCTGTCTGCCTGCTGGCTGAGTCCATCTGAGACAGACACCGATATGCTCATGACTCTTGATCGAATGAATGGATGAATGAATGGTCCACTCATAATGTCGGTCACCACAGAGAAGGGGATAGGTGGTCGACATGTCGTCTTCGAGTGCTGGCGGCGTGCGTTGCGTCATGTCACCGGGGCCCTCCGCCACTCGTCAAGTACCCCAAGTAAGGAACAGACAGGCCGACATCTGGGGCTTCGTTGAGCCACGATGACGCCCGTCCGTCGCCACCTCTATGAGCTGAGGTGCGCACACACGCTCAATCAACACTCGCGGTACACCATCGAGTTGCCATGTTTGTTCTGTGTTGCGTCAGGTCCGCCTTTGACGCCTGTCCCTCGTCCAGTAGCTACAACGATCCCAGTGCTGCACCCGCAGCTCCAGCACCATACGAAGAGCCACTAGGGTAGGCAGGCACGCCCGCACACACACACACCACACACCGACAATGGGCTGCTCGTCACGTTATTGGGTTTGCGTGAAAGAGGGCGGACAGGGTGCCTCGGTGTCGGCAGACCATGGTGCTGCTGTTCCCGATGATGCTGTAAATGATAGGTGGGTGTCGATTGGTTGTCTCATAATCAGTGTCCACGCGTGTGTGTGTGTGTGTGTGTGTGTGTGTCTGTGTGTGTGTGTGTGTCTGTGTGTGCAGGATGGCCGGCTTGTCGCGAGAATGAGGAGCTCAAGGGAAGGTACACGCATCCCATAACGCAGCACATAAGAACGAAACGCCGAGCTCACCTCCGCCGCCCACCAGCACCAGCCGTCATCGTCCAGCAGCTCGAGTGCCCCTTTCCCGCTACAGCAGGCTCCCTCCCAGCATGCCACAGTCAGGCCGCCCCTCCCTCCCTCCCGTACGTGTGCGTACGTTGGCAGGCTGGTAGGGATGTCACTCCACTCCCCCCCGCCCCCCTTCCCTCCCCATCCATACAGCCAGCATGACATTGGTTGGTGTCGAAAGGAGGGAGGCCCACATACATACCAACACGGCAGATGGGTTGGGAGGGAGGGAGGGAGGAACGGAAGCATGCAGCGCAGCCAGGTGGCCGGCAGCCATACCTATGCCGGCCTCATGTCGATGGATGGATGGATGGATGGATGAGAGGCAGGCCAGCAGATGGACAGGCAGGTATCAGTCGGTGTGAGTCACTCTCATGACCTGTTCATTCGGTGGCATCCATCCAGTCGGGTCACTGACGTGAATGCGGTGATGGAGGGCTTACCTGCTGACACACAGATCACAGTGCCTTGTACGCGCCAGAAGGCGACCGTTAAAGCACAGACTTCCTTTCGTGCAGTCTTTGACTTGATCGACGTGTGAGCTGCTGTGATCCAAGCGACCTGATCTTTTACCAAAAGCAATTCATCCAAAGTGATTGGGGCTCACCGCGGCAAAATGAGTGGCACCTGACGAGTCCTGTGGGCCCACCAGAAGGGCTCCTTCGCCCTCCTTCCGACCTGCAAACCGATCGATGCGAGCTAATGCGAGCCTTCGATCGGCCTCCTTGGAGTAGCGGACTCGCCCGCTCGTCCGACAAAGAGTGGGAAGATGCGGCGATTGGATTGCTCACAAGCACACTGACGACCTGTTTGCTGGCTGTGCGTGTTGGCGGTCTTCAGGTCTGCCTTGTCGACGGGCGGACTGGTTGGTTGAATGAGCGAGTGTGTGTGTGCGGCTGGCTGCGACTCATACGTGTGATAGGCAAGCACTGGTTGATGCACAACAAATGCATCAGGTGCCCGGCCATCTCTTGTCTGTCACAGTTGTCCGTGGTGCAGCTCTGTTTGGGTGAGTGAGAGCGATGTCGTCTGGTCGTCCCGACACCGACATGGCCTCCCCTGCTATGGCGGACGGTGGCGACGGCGATGAAGGTACACTCAACTCACGCAAATATGCAGCACATCACACACACAGCATCATGGCCAAACGTCGTGTGTGTGTGTGTGTGTCCGCTTCACCGTCTTTGCAGAGTATGCCGAGCAGTGTGGCGGCGGTGACGAGCGGCAGCCAATGGATGTGGAGGACCACCAGCAGGTGAGCAATGTCATCGTGAGGCAGAGGAACAACGCCTTCATGACAGAGCCCTCTCACATGCCACCGCCGGTTCGCCAACAAACAAGAGCACCGCGACAGACAGACACTTTCACGCAATCTCCCGTGCGTGTGTGTGTGTCATCGGCTGTTCCGCCGTGGCAAACGGCAGGACATTAAGCTCACGGCAAGGGTGGCGGGTGGGCCACAAGCATCGGCAGCATCGGCAGCAGGAGAGCAGGAACCGTCAGGAAGCTATACAGGTAGCCAATAAATGCACCACAGCCAGCATGGTCTTTGGGTCGTCTGTGTAGGTATTGTGAAGCGTGCCGGCTTTCCTCTGGAGCGTGAGGAGCACAAGAGGGCCAAGCGAGACGGCCAGACGCACCAACTTGCCGCCAACCTGCCAAATGGCCAGCAGCCACAGGTGATTGCATGCCTCCTCTGTCCTTACCACACTAAGAGATGGCATGGTTGTGTTGTGAGCTGTATTGTATATGGTGTGTGCAGAATCCTCTCGCTCCCCATCCTGCTGGTGGTGTTGGTGTCCCACCGCAACCGCCCCGCGTCGGAGGGGGCGTCGGTGTTGGTGTCGATAGGCAGCAGGGCAGCGGTGAGGGCCGACAGGACGGACGTAGGTCAACAAATTACCCCCCAACACACCCTCCCCTATGCACGCTGTGCCACAGGTGCGCCGTTGCCCCACGGCTGGAAGAGCTTGAATGAGGAGGTCCGCGTCCGCTTCCCGAATGGCACCAGCGTCGCCAGCTACGCACTGTTCAAGGTCATCAGAGAGCGCCGCATCACTGGCGGTCCAGCGGCATGGAGCCGACCTCAATGTGGAGCCTGGGCTGTACGTGGCGGGCAGCACGTCGGGAGACCATTTTGCCTATCCGCTGCTGTCGCTGTGCATCGACAACCTCACTGACAACAGTCTGCCGTCCATCTGGGCAGTTAAGGGCGATGACCACTGTCCCCTCGCCATGCCCATGTGGGAGACTCGCGGCATCCAGCTCGCTATCATGGGAAGCCTCGTCCAGGGAGGCGCCGACATCAATGCGGGTGAGCGTGCCTGTACGCCCATCGTGGTGGCCATTGCCTCGTGCAACCGGGCCGCATTCGACCTCCTGATGGGCCAGCCAGGTGCGCACTCATTCACAGCACTTACGACACGGAACACACAGCGTGATGTCGGTCTGTCTGTCTGTCTGTTCCAGGCATCCAGCTGCGGGGGCGTCGGGTGCTGACGGTGCCTACCACATTGGATACGGACCAGCCGACTGGGGCTCACGAGGCCACGCTGCTGTCCTTCTACCGGCAGCTCATCGAGCGGGACAGCACACTCGCAACCGAGCGGGATGCGGACGGCCTCAATCCGATGCATTGGGCCGCCATGACGCCTCCAATCTGGTCCCAGCAGTCCATCGAGAACTACATTGACCTGCTGGTGACGAACGGGGTGGACATCAGGCCCGTGGACAACGGTGGGCTGACACCATTACATCGGGTGGCGCACTGGGGTTCCCACCGTGTCGCTGCCTCTCTCTGCGGCCGTCTCACCGCTGCTGACATCGACAGAGGGCTGCCGAATGCCCCCGCTCTCACACCCCTCACCGCCGCTGCCCAATCGCTCGATGAGGCCACCCAGCGGCTGCAAGACAACAACACGGGGCAGGCCGAGAGGGAAGCCCTGGCCACCATCCGGATCCCTCATGTCAAGCACACCATCAGTGTGCTCCTCCAGGCGGGCGCTGACATCGCCTTCATCCCCACAGCCACAGAGCGACACCGTCGTCGTCGACAGCTGATGCTGCCCGAGTATGCGACAGTGCTCAACCAGCTGCCGCATGACGTCATGGCGACCGTCAACGCCGCCCTGCGCCCTCAGCGCGAGATGGCCGACGCGCTAACAGAGGCACTCCACAATGCCACCGCCCAGCAGCTCAAGGCCGCCTTCCCCTCATTCGACCCATCCCGCCCCTCCGTGCCTCCTCCCCCCCTCCCCCCACACGTCGACCCGGAGCCCTCCTGGCACAACGACTACATGCCCTTCGCCAATCGGGACATGTCGCCCATCGCCTGGCGCGTGGCGTCGTCCTTCGTCAACCCATCGGTGCTGGAGCAGAGCCCCCGCCCCGTCCAGAACGTGACTGAGATCGGCCGCCGCGTCAACACCGCGATGGCGCGTTTCGTGGGGGCCGCCGCATCGCTGCAAGTGGTGGGCAATGAGGAGGTGGTGGGCGGGACGACCAATGTGGACGGCGAGAGGGTGCGGGTGCCGCAGCTGCGGTGCTTCGTCGTCAGGGGGCAGCATGGCGGGCAGCATCGGCTGATGGAGTTGCGTGAGGTGGTGCAGCGGGCCATCCTGGACGAGGCCGCGAGATACGACGGGCTGCCGGCCAGCATCGGCAACGGCTTCACCAAGGACGTGGCGGCATTCGAGTGGCAACATCTGGGGTACGTCGACGAACGAGGGGAGTGGGTGACACTCGGCATGTAGTCAGTGTGAGTCACTCTCCTGATGTGTGCACCCAGTGGCACCCAGCCAGACGGGTGTCACTGACGTGAATGCCGTGGTGGATGCTCATCTGCTGCCTGCTTCCATGTAGCCAGAAACGGCGGCTGGGTGAGGTGCGTTTAGAGGTGTTGACTGAATGACTTCACGTGTTGGTGCTGCTGGATGTCAGTGGGTGTCAGTGGTCGACTGACTGGATGACGTGGCAGACGGTGAAAGCTTCGATGGTCTCGATTGGCGGTCCGCACATTTCAGATTGGACGCCACAGGGAGGCATTCAACAGTATTCGTTGCCTTCCTCTCGAGTCTCGAATGCCATTCATGTGAGGCCTTCGAGTGACTGAATGGCATCATGACTCACGCGTACAATCGACAGGGCGACAGGGCAATTGAGCTGCACGTCCCGGTCTGTCGTGTGTGCGTATGAAGTAATGACCACTCCACGATTAATGAGTGCACAGTGTGTCAACCACGCCAACTCATCCAAATGAGCGGCGAGGCACACGTCTGTCTGTCTGTCTATTTATCTGTTTCTGTCTGTCTGTGTGTGGTGTGTGGTCGATGGACTGTCGATGCCATGCGGCAAACACTCACTCTCGCACACGACACCCACCCACAGATACACACACGCTGACCGCATGCACAGAGACACACACACACACACACACAGAGGGGGAAGGTGAGTTCGTCACAAATACAAATGTGTGAATGGTTGGGCGAGAATAACTCGACAGAAAAGAGCGAGAGAGAGGGAAGGGCCAGGTCTCAAACAAAGCCCCGAGGAAGCAAAAAGCTATCGGCTGCAGCATCGTGGCGTGGCGTGTGTGTATGGCGCCCACACACATATAAAGGACCCTAGAGAATCAACGCAGCCACTTATAGATAGGGCCCGTTTGGTGGGCCTCCTGTGGCCTGCCCACTGTCTGGGCCTCCTCCGGATCTCTCGCCCCGTGGCCAGCTGCACCGAGTCGTAGCCCGCCTGCTTGCACTGCATCCGCGTGTAGGTGGTGCTGGCCTGGGGTCAGGGGCAAGACCTTGCCCCGGTACACACGCGCGTCCACCATGCAGCCCCTCTGATGAGACTTACGGTCGGTCTGCTGTGGGGATGCCGCCCTGACGCGCCAGCCAAACACACAAGACACAGACATGCCTGTGTGCGGCTGTGGTTGGCCATGTTTGTGTGGCCTGCTCACAGGTAGATGCCGCCGCCGACGATGCCGGTGGAGCCCCGCAGCATTTCGCCTGAGGATGCCACGGCGCGTGCGGCCGCCCTGCTCGTCTGATGGTAGAGGCTGACGCCATAGGGGCACTCGCTGGCGAAGTGGTCGGAGTTCTCGTCGCCACACAGCTTGCAGCAATGCTGTGGTGCTCCTCACAGCCCCACACACGACAAGCCACCTGCACGACACAGAGGATGAGCACCGTGCTTCCTCCCTCCCTCCCTCCCATCGTTTCTTACTCACCTGGCGAGTCTTCATACTCGCAAGCAGCAGCCCCTGCAAAGAACAAGAGCAAAGCACCTTCCACCAAAGTGACCTCGTTCGTCCCTTGCCCTTTGCCCAAGCAGCTCCGACGAAATGCCCTCCACCTGCCCACGGAGCTCGGCCATTTCTCCGGCCAGGCGATCTGGAATACACACACACACACATACGCACAAAGCGCGGCGGCTCGGTCGCTCGGAAGGACGCAATGAAGCAAGGGATGTCAGCTCGGAAAGATCCAACATGGCACGGCCAGGTGATGCTCATCCAGCGGGGCTTCGTTGACCCCTGTCGGGAGAATCTGAATCTCTCACCCGACTCTCAAGCACATCGCCTGTATTATCTGCCATCTTGCGTTGATGCCGTCTGCGCCGACCCGCGGCCGCACCCGATCAAACCCGAACCCTTAAAGAGTTAGGAATGCGGGTTTCATGAAACAGAAAGTCGACTTTGTCTACGGGGAACATTTGTCAGCAGAAGGATGGCCGACAACGAGGAGCGCGTGCTCTCAGTGTTGCGAAAACTGATTCCTGAGTCCAAGAAGGTGGTTGACCCCAAGCTCAGGGATATGCAACTGAGGGACTTGCTGTCTGATGCGGAGGACAAGATCAAGTTTCTCGAGTGGGACGAGAACCTCTACGTCGCCTGCCACAGCTGCCTGAGGGTGGGGGGGG